TGGTAGTTAAAGATTCTGTTGAAGGGGCCACCCACTCGGGCCCCACCATGTCCCTCTTAGACAGAAGCTTCCTGTTTCTCAATAAATACTTCCTACTCAACCTCTATTAGGATTAATTCTTCCATTTCAGAGAACACAAACTCAGCCTACCAGACATCTAGTAGACACTCAGGGTTGGGGGATACAAGAGCTGATTTCCACTTGTCCTGCTCTGTGCTCCACTCTGCACTCCAGTTTTGTCCAAATACACTTCTGGGAACAACACAACAGCAAGAGATCCAGCCAAAGAGGCAGCGTGGGTGGGGTGACACACTAAATGATGATATTCCCTAGGACATGATGAGGTACCCCTTAAATCAGATAATACTCTATTAGGGTGCTATGCTCTCACAGAAAGAATATGCAGGTCTGGCGATTATGTGGGAATGCAAGTTGCTCCCCTTAACATTGTTTCAATGATTTGTTGGGTTTTCCTGTTCCAAGTCTGGATTCTGCAGTTAGAGGTCTCCTTGCTCAGAGACACAGAGAGATCCAATTAGGCTACAAACGATGGCTGCTTCTAAATGCTTGATCCTCCTATGGTCAGAGAGATCTAAAACTAGCAGGTAAAGAAAGGAATGGTTATCTTGTGAGAATCAATTGATGCTGATCAGTAAAAGGGGCCAGGGTTGCTGGTACCCAATGGGGCAGGGTGGAATATGTGTGGAATTCCAGTGACTTGTTTGGGTATCTCTTGGTCCCCCTTTGCCCAAATATGACTGAGAATGGACAAGAGCAGCAACCCTGGCTGGGAAACATTCAGACCCTTTAGGAATGAGGATTGAGGCGCCTGACCTCATAAGCTGCTGAGATCTGCTGAGGTTGGAGTTAGGGGTACGAGGGTTGGAAAAAATCATGGAGATATACGATGAGGACCAGCTGTGGCCTTGAGACCAACTGAAGTGACAGGGGCCACACCCTTTACTTTTCTCTTCTAAGCTTCTTTACAGAAAGAACAGTTCTGAAAAAACTGTCCTGCATTCAAAGACAGAAGGGGACTCACGTGATGTGAGGATGGATTACACCTCACACAGGTGTCACTCAGGTTGCCTTTCAAGCCAAGGCTTGCTGCCCAGCTTGCAGGAGGATACTAAGCTGATGGCCCATTATCTTTAGCTCTTTCTGGATCTCTCCCAGTGTTCCAATTAAAGTCCTGTTCTTCCCTGTTGGCCCCCACCAGTGACAGCAAGCTAGCGTGGTATTATTGAGGCACAATTATAATATAAGAACACGTTTATAAAATAATAAACTTAGGGTATTTCATGATCAATTAGAGATCTCTGACCAAGTTTCTGTTCTGTTGCTTCTGCTGAATTCAATTGATCTTGACAACTTGTCTAAAGCCCAACTTTGGATCTCTGATGAGCACTGAGTCAGAGTAATTATCTACACCTTTAGGCACCCCAGGCTAGTCAAGAAAGCCTTTAACTATGCTCACTCTGTAAGGGCTCCCTCTTCCAAAAGTTTCTATGGTATGGTAATGCCTTTACTATCCTCACTGTGTAAGGGTCCCTTCCCCTTGTTCCCTGGAGTGTTTCTGTATTCTGAGAAACAATTCCTTTGTTTGAGCAAATCTGTTCAAGACTAGCCTGCCTGTCAATATATGACTCAACGCTTGTAACCAGTTATGTAACATTCTGTCACTTGCTTTGTACTTCCCACTTCTAAAATCTATGTAAACTAAGCTCTCTATAAACTCAGGACTGTTACCTTTGTGGAATTATCTCACAACAGTCTGCTGGCATGAAGACCCAACAGTTCACTGGTGGGCGTAAAGATTAAATGCTGCCTTAAATGCTGCCCTCTTATCTGCTTTCTGCAAAGAGCCTTCTTTTTGGTTTGGTTTAGAAATTTTCCCGCTCCACTACAAGGGCCTTGCCTTTTCTGCCTTTGGTTGCACTCCAGCTCCAGAGCTTCCTGGTGGGCTGCGGAAGACCCTGTCACATTTGCACACGAGTCTGACAGCTCCCCGGCCCCATCTTGCCTTCTCCTTTGACTTCGATGTTGCAATCAGGAACTCTCTGCATTCTAAGTTCCATGTCAGTATCTCCTTGAGAAGCTGCACTGTGACAACACCTGTTTCAAAAATTCCCTGAATGTCACCTATGTCCTTGCTTTCTACAACCCCAATTGTTCTCCGTGATTTTAAATTGGAAGGAGTGGTCCTGGTGAGACTCTGTACTCTTGAATTCCCTACAGCGTTAACCACAGATCTGGGTGCTTCTTGAGTACAGGGACTGTTTCTTAGGTTTCTGCATGTTCCTAGTAGACTGTCTAATGTAAGCCAGCCAACAAACACATTAAGCTTAATCAATTTGATAATACAAGGTCCCTCGGAACCTGTCAGACCACAAACAAGGCCAAGTGGATTAAAGAAGCATCAGCCAGAGGCAACAAGAAGTCAGATGATGCTACATGGGCCCTGAGTTTGGCTGGTTTTCTTTCCACAGTCCTCTATTCCTAAGACAGTCCTTCATTTCCCATCCATCGCCACACGGAAGTGTCATTTTGTTTTCAAAGAATTTGTAATTTGGCAGATAGATTTTTATTATTATTGTTATTACTGACTGTTATTACTGACATGGTCATGCATAGAGACCACCATAGGGATAAAGGACAAACCACTTACCCGTTGAAAAGCAGTTTGTGTTTTCTTTCGTAGTATTCAGAGACTTAACAGTTTTTTGCTAAAACACGTGACTTTTGCCTTGGATCTATAATTGCCAATAGGGGACTGTAAGTGGAACAAAGCTTGGCCTTCATTTTGTAAAACTGTGGGTCATATTATTCTCAGCTCTGGGTATATACACATTTGTCATTTAAGGAATGACTGTCTAAAAGTCAGCAGAACAAAGTTTACTAGCCCTAAATTTGCCTCACCTATGCCATCCCTCTTCCAGACAAGGGACCCTGAAGTAAGAGTAAGTAATGTAATATTTGGATTCATAAGAACTCCTGTTATCAGTGTTTTCGATGTTCAGTTCAGACCTTCTCCCCCCAACAACTGCTTGTAAGTGTCCAGCCACTGCCCTAAACCCATAGTTGCCTGAATTCCAGGAAAAGCAGAGGCTTAGTGACAAACTGCCCCAAGCAAAAATATCCTTTCATGGGAACAGTTGAGCCTTTAGCCAGGGGGATTTAAACTGAGCCAGAGATAAGTATCAACCTGGCCCTTGACCACAGTGGTGGATGAGTCAGTCTAAACCCTTACATCAGAGTGCATCCCCTCCAGCTACTCAAGCTGGAACACTTCCCCTCTTTGCTCTTTCTTTCCCTGTGAGGGAATCGGCTTGATCTTTGCCAGAGCTATGCTTTTCCATATTTCCTCTCACTTTTACCTAAAACCTTTTGGCTCAAAATTCATGCTTCAGTTCTAATTTTCATTACAAGGACCCTTGCTAACCTATTACATTATTATTACTATTACTGTTATTGTTATTGCCATGGAACAGGCCAATAGAATCCAGGTTCTTGGGTATGATGGGGAAAGAATTGCCAGGATACACTTAGCAGTAAGTAGCAAGCAGCTGCATTTATTGATGATCATGGGAAGTGGCAAGTCAAGATCAGGGAAAGTCCATGCCAATAAAAGATATGGCAGAGATGGAAAAAGGTGTCAGGGTAACAGAAAAGGTGCAGCTGGCAGCAGCAGCAGCAGCAGCAGCAGCAGCAGCAGCAGCAGCAGCAGCAGCAACGACAGTGATAAAATCAGGCTTTTCGAATTTAAAGACCAGAGGCTTCCCTTTAGGTGCCTCCTTCTGAATCACTAGATGTGACTGATAAGAATTCTTCACAGGGTGCAGTGTTAGCTCAGGGGCTCTCAACACACGCACATCCCAGAATTCCCTCTACTCTTCATTATATTTATAAAATGTAGTACATATTCATGAACCTGTAATGAGGAGGGAGTAAGGTGAAGGTGACCAAAGGTCAGGCTGGGAGATTTAATAGACATGTGCTCCCGCCTAGAGCATCAGAGATCTCCTGGGTTTATGTTATCTTATTGTTCACTTTTCTTAGGACAGTGGAAGCTGGAATGACTCTAGGGACTGTTTAGAATTAAATAGAGGACAGAAGGTGACTCTCTCAGCTCAATGTTTCTAACTGTATTTATTATTGTATTAAGGATTTAATAAGGCTTTACGCCTGCCAGGCAAGCACTTGTGAACTGCAACTCAGCCCATGAATTTTATTATTTATAAAAATAGATTTATTTTTGGGGTGGGGGGTTTTAGCTCAGCGGTACAAGTGCCTGCCTGCCTGGCAAGGTACCAGGGTTAGAACTCCCGACCTGGGCAGGCGCTGTGCTGCTGAGCTATATCCCCAGCCCTGAACTATTTGTTATATTTTTGGAGTGTTGGGAGGAGAACCTTTTTCCTTTTCCAACTTGGGGTCCAGAGTTTTGGGATTTTCAAATATTTTAGAATAGACAGATTAACAGGAGGAAACAGTCGGGCTGTGGTAAGGGGCAGTCTGAATCTTGGGATATGTCTAAGCTTGCCCGCTTGTGGATTCTTGTTATCAGGAGAGTAAGCAGCGGTTTGGAATAGACCAGAATGGGTCAAGAAGTGGTTCTTCAAAAAGTCCCCGAGGTTAAAGAAGAGAGAAATCATCGCGGTTCTTAAAAGGGATTTGTGGTGGGGAAGGAAGCGACAGCGATCTAGATCAGGCAGACCTCGATCTGGGGCGCGGGGTCGAGATTATGGGTACCCAGGGTAACACCGGGGCTACGTCTGATGGCCGTGCATGTTTGCTCAACATACTGCTTCAAGTGCACGGCGAGGAAACGATCTCGTAGCAATGGGACGGTGGCGAAGATTCGCCCACACAGGAGGCCGCGCGCCCCGGGGTCAGCTCTTTCTGGCTGGGTGGGGCGGGAGCCAGATGACGCCCTAGTGGCCCCCGGCGCACGTCACTCGCCTCTTCAGGGCTGGGTATAAGAGCCTCCACCAGAGCCCAGGTTCAGTTTTACTTCCTCCTCTCTCCCCGCAGCGCCGCACGCTCGGCAGGGAGCCTCACCCTCGTCGGTTCTGGGACCCAGGCAGGGGGTGGCGCCAGCCCGGGTCGTGCCGTGGTCGCCGCAGGTTTGCACGCGCCCGCTGCCTGCTTCCCACCCGCTCGCCTGCGCCGCTGACTTGTGAGTCTGAGCCTAGGACCCCGTCGGTGCGGCTTGGCCTCTGGACCCTAGAGGTGAGAGGGAAAGCGAAAGCGCCAGGCTCCGCGGAGGCGCCGCCCGTGCAGCTCCGGGCTAAGTTTCGATTCTCGCCGAGCGCTCTGCGCGCGCCATGGCGGACCCGACGGTGTGCTGCTTCATCACCAAGATCCTGTGCGCCCACGGCGGCCGCCTCAGCCTGGACGCGCTGCTTGAAAAGATCCAGCTCTCCGAGGCGCAGCTCCTGGAGGTGCTCAAGGAGGCCGGGCCCGACCGCTTCGTGGTGCTGGAGACCGGGGGCAGGGCCGGCGTCACCCGCTCGGTGGTGGCCACCACTCGAGCCCGCGTCTGCCGTCGCAAGTTCTGCGACAGACCCTGCGAGAACCTGCACCTATGCAAGCTCAACCTGCTGGGCCGGTGCCACTATTCGCAGTCGGAGCGGTGAGTGCGCGGGAGGGCGGCGCCCCAGGTCCTCCAGGAGGGGGCGCCGGGGGCCGGGGGTGCGCGGTGGGTCGCAGCCTCTGCACGCTCCCCGGGGAGCTGCGCCGCGACCGGGACTTGACCTGGGCGCCCCTGCCAGGAGGAGACGGCTCCCCGATGCCTGTCTGCTCGCCCGCCCGTGAGAACCCTAAGAATAAAGTGCTTTCGGGTTAGCCACGGCCTGGAGAAGGGAGAAGTTGGACCCCAAACCTCTACCCCGAGACCTTGAGGAGCCTGGCAGCTGGGGCGGCCCCTGGGGCGGCCCCTGGACGTGGATCGCCCTCCCGGCCGCGTGGGCACCCGAGGCGCTTCCACGAGCGGGCTCGGGCCTCTCTTGGGGCCCACCGACCCGCTCCGAGTGACCCCGGCTTTGATGTGGCGCTTCCCTGCTTCCCTCCCCGCGTCTGCGTGTGGCCCGCACCCCTGGCCACCCCTTCCTGGGACGACGCGGTGGATTGAAATACCGCTACTTGTTTATTGCAAAGCGTCTGCCTCTGCCTGCGTCTTCATGGGCTGTATTTGTCTGCTAAATACAGATGTGACCCAGCTCACTCCCTTAGGTTTAGTTGTCGCATCCACCTAGATAACTTCCAAATGTCTGTCCGCTGCCTAGACGAATCCCGCCACCTGGTGAGTCCGGAGGCGTCCCGACCGCAGTCCTCAGTACAGCCAAGCAAAGCAAAACAAAACAAGTGTGTTTCGTTTTGGTTTTGTTTTTCCTTTCTTTGCTGTACTGACGATTGACCTTAGCTCCTTGGCACTGAACTACATTTCCCGCCCTTCTTGATGTTTTGTTTTGAGACAGCCTTTCCCTAAGTAACTAATCTGGCCAGGCTGGGCTTGAATTTGGGATCCTCTTGTCTCAGCCTCCCCAGCTCCAGACAACCTCTTAATCCTTTATATTAACCACCAAGTCTTTTTCCTGTTGCCACGTTCGACCCCTGCCCCTTCCTCCTTCTCATCTGCTTCAGCGTGAATGCCTTGTTGATGAATGAATGCTTCTGTCTGGCCACTGACTTTCCCTATATTTTATCAATCCCACCTTAGTTCTGTTCAATTATTTTTTTCTTGATCAGACTATTTTTCCCACTTTGTCCGTCCTTAAAAACTAACTGGTGCCCAGTGACCAACTGTGGTCATCAAATTTTGGGCAGGCACTTTCGAGCAAAAAATTAGAGGCGGAAGAGACACATACTTCAGAAAGAGGAGGATCTTACATTTGTTGTTTTCTTTTTTTTTTTTGTCTTTTTTTTTATTGGTACCGGGGATCGAACTCACAACCGCCTGCTTGCAAGGCAGGTGCTTATGCCGCTGAGCTAAATCCCCAGTCCCTAGGTCTTCCATTTTAAAAGCCGGCAAATATTGGAATATTTAGTAAGCTATGAGGCAACAATTTGAAAATTTGTTTTTTTTTTTTTTTTTTTTTTTTTTGTCTTTTTCGTTTTTATCGGTACCAGGGATCGAACTCACGACTGCCTGCTTGCAAGGCAGGTGCTTATGCCGCTGAGCTAAATCCCCAGCCCCGAAAATTTGTTTCTAGTTGTTGAGGTAATAGTGTTACTGGCAACAGAAGAAACAGGTAAATCACAAGAGGAAGGAAGTGGTAGAGAAAAGAGAAAGGAACCCTAGTGCATTCTAGCACATTCGAGAACATTCTAGCTCCATACTAACGACGGGATTGGAAGTCTTCATAATCTTTTCTTGTTATAATCTGTTTTGTTATGAAGAATTTTTCACCAGTTAGGCTTGACTTCTGGTTTTAAAAGTTTCAGGGTTTCTGTTTGTTTGCATTGTGTTTCTCTTTTTGCCATACTTAGTACTGAACTTACAGCCTGGTGCAACCTAGGAAGGGATCTGCCTTGAGCGACATCCCCAGTCCTTCTACATTTTATTTTGAGACAGGGTCTTGCTAAATTGGCCAGGTTGGCCGGGGACTTAGCTCAGCAATGTAAGTGCCTGCCTGGCAAGTGCAAGGTCCGGAGTTTGATCTCGGTACAAAAAAAAGAAAAAACTGGCCAGGCTGGCCTTTAGGTTGCTTTTTTTTTTTTTTTTTTTTTTTTTTTTGCTTTAGTCTCCTGAATAAATGAGATTATACTCATAGGCCTCTGCACCCACCCGCTACGGCATTTCTCGATATACTTGCAAGTAGTCAGAGAATGGTGACTTCTTTGTACCAATCATTTTTATTCAGCAGTTTTTAAAACATGGCCAGTCTCCTTTAACCTACTCTGCCTTCCCCATTGCTTTCTCCATCAGTGTTTTATTTTAAAGCAAATCCTAGCAATCATTTGTTTCATAATTACTTTACTGTCTCTAACAGACAAGGACTAAACTTTATTAGCATTATCAAGATACCATTTTTTTAAAAAAATGTAATTTAAATTTTTTATTTGTTTGTTTTTGGTGCTAGAGATGGAACTCTGGCTCTTTTGCTTGGCAGGTACTCTTACTGAGCTCCACCTGTGGCCCAGTGATTTAAAAAAATTACGGTGTTATTATTTTCTAATACCAATGCTCAAATTTCCTGTCTCATAAATCCAACTAGTATTTTCAGGGAAAAAACCCTACACAAACGTAAGCTGAGTGTTTTTAGTTTTATGAAAATTATTATGGCATGTTTTTCTCTTCTGATTTGTAAACATCAAAAGCATTTTAACCTATAGAGTTGTTTGGTAACATTTGTTTTTCTGCAGTTTAGAAGGTTATATATAATATAGGGATTATTTGGTCTGTGCAAGTTTGGATGGACCCTCCAGAGAATTCAGTAAATTTTTTTAATATATTGATCAAAATCTAATTTTTACATTTACTGGTTTAGCTATATTTTAAATTTTCTGTTTATATCACTTTTGAATTTGGAAACTAGAAACTTTTGATCCATTATAATATAGAAATTCCTAATAAGTACCTATGGAGAGAATTTTTTCCTTAGAGTCTTGAAAGCATTCCCCTGCCCTCTGGCGCGCTTTTTAGTATTCTTCCCCAAGCAGCTTTTATAAAAGCTATCTTCTCAAGCTTGAGCTTGTCTAAGGACTTACTTGGTGGCCTCTCTCAACTAAGAAATACCTATAGTGATGTTACCATTGAGTTCACTATATGGTTCCTGTGTTTACATGGAGATAATTTACATTTTGTTGGACTCACAAAACTACCTCTGGGGCTGGGGATTTAGCTCAGTGGCATAAGCACCTGCCTGGAAAGCGCAAGGTGGTGAGTTCAATCCCTAGTATCAAAAACCAAACAATAAACAAACTCCTCTCTCTGCAGTGCTATTATTTATGGCAGGATTTCTTTCATTCTGTAGTTTCTGTTTTATTTATTTTTTCATTTATTTATTGCCACAGTGCTTTGACCTGGACATTTTAATTGAAAACACAGTTTTCTTAGGTGTTGTATAATCATTTGTTCTGGTGCATCAGTTTGCTTTGTTGAAATATATTCCTTATACATGGAGTTCAAATCCCAGTTCTGATATGAACAGCCAGCCTTTATTGAATGAATAAGAATATGCCTAGCTTTGTGAAAAACATGTGAGAGATGATGTCCCAGTTAGTCTTCCCACAGCTCCTAAAAGCCCCATCTTAATGGAATGAAACTTGGGCACAGAGGTCTTTCTAATTTCCTGAAGGTCTCATAGCTGGTAGCTGGCACAGTTGATGTTTGAATATGATCTTTCCTGTTTGTGTGCTTGGCTTATGAAACCAGGTTTCACTGTGTGGTTCAGGCTGGCCTTGAACTCACTGTGTAGCCCAGGCTGGCCTCAGACTTGTGACAATCTACCTGCCTCAGCCTCCGGAGTGCTGAGATCACAGGTGTGTGCCACAATACCTGGATTGGCATGACTTCTTAAGTAGCTGCTTCTATTGTCCAGTAACTGTGTGAAGTGTAATCTTTAATTAATTAAAAAATTAGCAATTTTTTAAAAGCATGATTTCTGTTTTAGCTGTTTAAAGTAGGCTGGTTGTGTGTCATCAGCTTGCTTTGTGGTTGCTGCCAATGTGGGTGTTTCCTCTGGGCTCTTCCTTGTTCGCAAGCTTTGCCTTTTCCTCTTCCTTAATGGAAACCTTGGGTGGGGGAGGGGAGAAGGGAAGAGGACTAGTTGATAATTTCATAATTTGAAAAAAAATTACAGGGTATGGTGGCACATGCCTGTAATTCCAGCACTCGGGAGGCTGAGGCAGGAAGATCATCACAAGTTTGAGGCCAGTCTGGATTACCTAGTAAGTTCAAGGCCAGCCTGGACTATGTAGCAGGATCCTATCTTAAAGATCAACAACAACAACAAAACAAGAATGAAGAAAGAGTAATATAAGGAATAATACAGAGAATAATGTAACAAGCACCATGGTATATACTGAGTATATAAAGATATTACAAAATCATGTATAAATTTACAACTCACCTCCAAGAATCATTGCTTACATTTTTCATATTTGCCTCTTATAAATGAAATTTAAAAATTATATTAGCCTCAAGACATTTTTTTGTGTTCCTCAGTGTCATTTCCCTCTCTCCTCAGAAGCAATTTTGATGTGTATCTTTCCTTTCCTGGTTTTTACTATTTATAAATGTATATATTTGTGTTCATATAAAAATATTACTAATATGAGTTGTAATTTTTACTCAGTGTTGTATTTTGGAGAGCTATTGATGCTGCTGATACATTAGGATATAGTTGATTTTTTTTTAGATATTGGCGCTGAGCTCCCAAGGATCCTCCTGCCTTAGCCTCCTGAGTGTTTGGCCTGTAGGTGTGCATCACCATGCCAGCTGTTGTGTTTTGGTGCTGGAGGTTGAGCCCTCTGTTACTGAGTTACACCTCCAGCCTGGTGTATTCATCTGAACTGACTGTGAAAATGAAGGTGGTGACCAGTATTTCATCATATGACCTACCACAAGTCAGTCACCTAGTCCCCAAGTCATGAGTCTTTGGGGGTACTTTTAGTTTCTTGCTACAACAA